TCTATCTATCTATCTATCTATCTATCTATCTATCTATCTATCCATCTCTTCCTCCCCTCCATCCCCAGGTGCTGGTGGGTACTTTACGACCTGGCAGGATTTACGCAGGGACAAGTGAACATTTTGTTGCTTCGCTGTGGAGCAGATGGGAAATTCATAGTTGGGAGTTGGAAGGGCGAACTTTGCATAAGACAACAATTTGCCACAAGGTCTGTCTGGCAGCGAGCGAGGCAGGTACGCCTGTCTGCATACACAACGCTACAGTAGGATGGGAAAAGAAAAAAAAAAAACACACAACACCTGAAAGATCCTTGAGCCTCCACTGCTGGATCTGTCTTTTCTATGACTTTTTTCAAGTCAGTTTCTGTCACTTTCTGCCTCTTGTCGTTTTTTTTGATCCTCTCGGGTTTTATTTCTTTTCCTCTCTGGAATACGGTTTCTCTCTCTCTCTTCACTCTCCCAGTGTCTCTCCCTCTGTACTTCCCCGTCAGCCGGAGTCGAACCCGGCGTGCTCCCTGTGCGCCTTCGACAGCATTTCATCCACTGCTGACTGTTATTGAACCCCTTAAAATGCCACATCATCTGCAGATTTTCACCTACAAACATCCCTGAGTTTGTTTTTTCTTCTTTTATTATTATTTTTTTTTTCCTGAACAGTCTGACTCAATCTGCTGCAAATTCAGAGAGCAAAGTGACTCACTGAGCAGCGAGCAGGCAGCACCTGGTGATGATGGGAAAACGGAGGGATTGGCTGTAAAGAACAGTGTGTGTGTGTGTGTGTGTGTGTGTGTGTGTGTGTGTGTGTGTGTGTGTGGCAGTGCAGGTTCAATGACAGACATTTATCCGGATATGATCCCTATCAGCGTGTCACGCACACTCACATCACACATGCACGGATAGCGAACCACATGTTGCATCAGTATTGCGCGGCGGCAGAGTCGGTTACACCACGGCGCCGTGCACCACCAATTATAACCGACCTTTGGTCTAATGGTAATGGGAATTGAAGCTGACATATAATACCAGTGTATGGCTGATGGGGGGAGGGGGGGGGGGGGGGGGGGGGGGGGGGGGTGGCATACAGACGCCGTCGGCGCAGAAGTCCCACTCATCGATGCGGGAAAAAGAAAGGCGTTGCATGTAAAATCAATCACCAATAACATGAAATGATCCGACAACCGACAAAGGAGATTTTGAGGCTGCATTCACACTCTTGTTCACGTCTGCATTCCTCACACCTGACTCACAGTTGTGTGGATGATGCAACTCAGAAACATAAGAGCGCTGAGAGCGGAGCAAAGTCGTTTTCAGACACTGGCGATCGATCGTTTGTTAAACTGCCTTTGTTCTCAGCCATGTTGCAAAATGATGGCAGATGTCTCCCATGAGAAATATTTTATTATCGCCATGGCAGCACTGAAAAATGCTGATTTGAGTTTCAGGGGGTTGAATGGAGGGCAACTGGACTTCAAGTATCTAGAACCAAGTCCATTTGCCCCTGATGTCCGTGAGCTGGATGACTGAGAATCTGCACAATCTGTAAATTATCCGTCAGTCGTTTGGACTGAAAGTGATTTCGTGCAGGTTTTAATGTTCAAGCTGATTAGAGAAAGATCAGATCGTCGCTGCAACTTTACATATTTGTGTTTCATTTGCTTTTTCATTGCATAATAGTTGAAGTATACATCTCTGAGGCACTGCAGTGGGAGAGATGAACAGAGTGGGACTTCTGCCACCTGGCTACTGCTGCACAGAGGGAGTGTGATATAACACAAGGGCTGTGTTCAATTCACTTCCAAATCAATCTCTTTGAAAAGTGAACGGACTTATAAATCTGAGGGAGAGATATTTACTGCACCATCAACAGATACTGTAGTTGCTACTGAAGTGCATCTTTTATTTAGGAAATAAAAAACAAACTGTTTTATAAAATTGTTGGATTTGGTGTAAAAGCCAAACAAGCCAGTTTCTGACTTCGCTCTTTAAAGCGATTGAGCTGAAAGCGAGCGGCTCTCCGCCCGGTTACGGTGTCAAAGTGGAGTCGTTAACACTTGGGTTTCGCTCCTCCGGGTTTAGGAAACACAAAGTGGGTTAAAAACAAGTGGGTTTAGCTGCTCCGGCGTCGCTGGATGAGCCGTAAAGTGCTGCATGAGAACACTCAGGAAGAAGCACGGAGCGCAGGTAACGCAGAGTGGATGAGGGTTAAGAGACGCAGCACAGCGTTGGGATGTCGCTCACAGACTTCTTGCAGCTGAATACATCATATACTGAATTGTGCATGTGTTTGCCTTTACGCATGCACGCGCTTGTTATCTTTTCAAGTGCTATAACCAAGGAATCATTACAAAGTGCAGATAAATGCTCCGCTCAACTCAAGGAGCACATTTCTTTATTTAGTATCCATTAAAACTAATAGATAAACTGTTCATTTTTAAAGGAGTAAGTGTTAAAACGTGAGTGTAAATTGTTCGGCCCCTTAAATGAAATGAATGAATGCCGTTTCAATGCACCCACAGGTTTTTCCCGCTTTCATCTGCATTGAGGAAATCAACCCGGCTTCATATGAATACCATCCATATTTATTTAATTTAGGATTTCACCAGTGTCCGCAGCTGTGCATGATATGCATAATTCTTTGTGCCGGGGCCTGGAAACCTCAATTTCCCTCAGGACAATGAGTGTTATTGTATTCATGTGAAGTCATCTCACACTCCTGACAAAGGGCTTGTGACAGCAGTTTACGATTACGCCTGCCGCCGAATGATTCCCAGTTATATCCCCATTGTTCACGTCAACATTTTGATTGTTGTGCGGCTGAATGACATTCACATTGTGCTGTCACGTCGCTGCGTTGCTAAATAAAATCCTAAAGAGATTAGCATAGACGTGGTTTTGACAAAGTTCAGTAAACATTGTTGAGCTTCTGTGTTTGTTTTATTGCTAGTGGATGATTGCATTTCTTTTTTTATTACTGTACTAAAATAAATCACTAGTAAATGAAATGATTGCTGACAAATTGAACGATTTGAAATGTTAGATTTTACTTTTACATCAGAGCGTCTTTTCTCAGGTAGCGGTGACACGTATTTTAAAGGTTGGATATCTCATTATCGGTCCCGGTTTAGTGGCTTCAAGTTCACGTGAGTTGTAAAGTCTGTGAGACACGCGCTGGATACTGTCGGTATGTGCAGCTTTTCCTGGGTCACGGCAAACGTCAGGGGCTCACAAATGCAGACGTGGTGGTAAACAATGAGTTGCAGGGTGTGGGAGTGATTAAGGGAAGTGGCATCAGTGACCAGTGGAGGATGGTGTCCGGTAGATTGATTGATCTCCTTTGAGATCAATCGGCCTCATAAACAACCGAGTCTGAATGTGTACAAAGATTTAAGTTAAGTGTCTAAGAGCGTTATGGTCTGTGACTGCAATACTGATATACAGGATATGAAACAGGTTTGAAACAGTGGACAGCAGTGGATGAAGCTAACCTATGCTAAGCTACGGTAAATCTGATAGCAAAATAAATCAGCTTGTTTTCTTCTGGCCCAGTATATGACCAGTTCCCTGGCCCAAATCTGGCCCATACACAGCATGATTGTCAGATGCTATTTCCACATCTGGACCAATTCTGGTGCACGTGGAGGAAATCTTCCGGCCACAATCTGCTCAGATGTTTACGGGCCAGACTCGGGCCGACGACACGTTAGGCCAGAAGTTTCATTTTGCTTTTCATCACGTTCAGCCCTGACAGATCCTGAGGTCTGAATAACTTTCAGTTTCAGAAAAGTTCTCGGCGGCACTTGAAACGACCAAAGCTCAAATTTGTTTTGAACTGAATCTCCACTGGCTGAAACAAGGGTTTTCTCTTTTTCAAGAAACGCAATTTCAAGCTGTGTCGTGTTGTGAAGGACACCTATTCGACAATGACCTTAAACATTTAAGTATGTAGTCTAAAGTAGTGTGATTATAGATCAGGTCTAGCTTCTATATTAATACTGTGAAAGTATCAAAGCCTCAGTCCACAGAGAAATGCACACAGCCTGTATTCAGAAACTGAGCCTTAAAACCAGCCGTCAGGACTTCCTGTAACTTTGTGATGTCACAACAAAGCAGTCGAGACAGTTACGGAGAGGTTCGGCGCCTCCTCTCTTCTGAATGGCTCACCGACCTGTTACTAGAGCTCCAGAGAGAAGCCTGAGAGAGGAGATGTGAAACTACACTGAGATGGTTTTTGGTTCTTTATGGATCAACACTTCAAAATAAAACACAGAAGAAGAAGGAAATTGGGGACCTTTAAATAAATATGCCACCGTTGTTTCAAACGAATCCCACTGACAAACTCAGCTTTGGAAAGTGTATGTTACATCAGTGATGAAAAGGGAAGTTAGAGTTGATCACTCAGGGAGGGGAAATGTACCCGTGAATACCATCATCCATTGTTGTTTTTCGTCAAACGTGAAACCACACTTAAAGTAAATAGCTTCTGTATTGTAACTTCAGTTTTAGCTGGTAGAGAGCTCAAAGACAGATTCAGTTCGTGGCTCTCGTCCTTCTCTTTCAGTCAGTCCGTTTAATATGAAAAACGACTGCACTGCCGGTTCAAACAGTCTAATGTTACTGTTGCAATACTTAGGCTATTGACTGGTAGTGTGTGTGTGTAGTATATATGTGTGTGTGTGTGTGTGTGGGGGGGGGGGGGGGGGGGGCGTGCAAGACAGAAGGAGGTTCAAACACAGCCAGCGACACTCAAAGCAGAGCAGACATGCAACAAATGCAGTAAGATGGCAAAGACAACAAAACAAAAACAAACAAAAAACAAAGAGTAAAAGTTAAGAAACAAAGGAGGAGGAAGAGGAGGGGGGAGGAAGGGGGAGGGGAGGGGGACAACCAAAATGAAAAAAAGGGGTTCGCGTTGTGTTCATGGTTGTACTGTGATGGGAAAAAAAAAAAAGAAGATATAACATAGGGAAGGAAAAATATTCTGCCTATAAAGCAATAATCACCTTCGCTTGGGATGACTAGAATGTACGGCGTTGTTATTTGTCCCCTACCTATTACCACTAAGGCCAAGGGCCGCACGTCCCCGCCGGAAAGCATGAGAAAGAGAGGGAAAGAGAGAAAACAAACAACAACAAAAAAAAAAAAAAAAGGAAAAAAAGAAAGAAGAAAAAAGTCTAAGAAAAAAAGACGTATAGTTTTCTTTATCCATTTCATCAAGGTTTAGATCTCCCTGGTTCTCAATTGCACAATCTGTCTTAGAGGAGAGAAATTGCAGTGGTGAGAGATAGCACGGGAACATTGAGATCAATAGGACAACTAGCACTTCAGTGTGATGTGAGCTGGGGCAAGTAAGCGTCTAACATGTGGATGTGCTGCTGATGTGAGGGGGTGAGATGTGGTGCTGGGGGGAGGGGAGGGGAGGGGTCTGTGGAGTCTGTGAGCCTGGCTGCACGGGTTAATAAAAATAAAGGGAGGAGGGAAATGGAAGAGAAAAGAAATGAAGTGATGGTTGAAAGTAAAAAATAAATAAATAAAGAAATAAAGAAAAGGATGAACTTTGTGGCGTGGCAGAGAGAGAGAGAGAGACAAAGTCAGAGCAGTTAACACGTCAACATCAGATTATCGCTGATCGATTTGTTTATAGCGACTATGTGGAGGCAACAGATGGCTCGCGTTTCAGATCGCTCTCCGTCCCGATCAGCTGTGACTGTCGGAGGACTTGTACGGCCACAGGTGAGTAGTCAACCAATTAGAGAAGGGTTCAAATCGAATCTAAACTTCCTCTGCTCTACATTTCTCAGAGGCATTGGTGGAGAAATAAATCTGACTGGTTGAATTCAATCAGTCAATCCAAAGAACCAGGTTTTCAGACAGGAAGTAAAGCAGACCACAAGACCACGACCTATGACGGCGTCGACTGGTATGACAAAACATCTGAGGAGTTTTCCTCCCGGGTCTTCAGGAAATCATAATCATAGACAATCTTTTAAAGTTGGTTTAGTTATAAAGTGACGATGCAGCATGAAGGAAAATCACCCACCAGTTAATCTCCGGTGTGCACATGTTAAGACCAGTACATGTTATTTAACAACTTCTAGCACTGGCTTCAGGTTAAAATTAACTTCTTATGACTAATTATATCATTATCCATTATTTATCCTTTGAAGTATTTGATATTGACATTTTACAGTTTCAATTTCCCCACTGTGGGGAAACTATCTCATCTCATCTTATCTTATTTTATGAGGGTAAAACATAAAGCAGCTAACGGCCTCACGTCTGCCTATAATACACCAGAAGACTTTAAAGACTGACGCCCTCTCACGTCTGGAGAGTTTTCAGTGTCACACTATAAGCAGGGTCACTGTTTACAAGACTAGACTCCTTTAAGATTATTTCCCATCATGCTCTTGTTGTTTTATTTCGAAATGATTTCCCTTTACCTCCCTTATGCATTTAACGCCAACAGCCGACAGTGTTTCATGTCACTGAACGTCACTGTCTGCAGGAGCCAAGACTAAAGACTCATGATCATATTAAACATTTTATCTGAACGGTGTAACGTCGCCATTAATCACCTGATCAAAAACATGGTTCTTTGTTTTTACAGTTTTACAGTTAAATCAGAGTCTTTGCCTCTGACAGATTCTTGTGCAACTAAATCTTGATTATGTCCCAGTGTTTTTTATTTTTTCACTTCAACCAAAAGGTACACCAGCTGAGTTCACTGAATAAATCACACTGAACCAGTCAAGTGGCATTTATCACCGAGATCAGCTGCTGCGGCGAGTGAATAGCAGGTATTGTAAGAAAATTAGTCATCAGCATTCGCTAAATTGGCCATCTGCATTGCCTCAGAACAACTGCCCACATATCAGAAAAACTTCCAGAAAAGTACATTTCAAGTGGATTTTAAAAGTTGGTTTCGGGAACACTGATGCGTCTACACGTTGACGAGAAGTTAGCTTTTTTTTTTTTTTTAGCAATATGAAAGACAGCCACAAAGTTAAAAGCATGTCTTTTTCCCCAAGCACACACACATGCACACAGACAGAGAGCAGCGTCTACACAGTGTAGACCTCCACCCACAGAACTTCCCACTCAAAAAAAAAAAAAAAACACACAGCCTGGAAAATGGATGGAGCGAGAAAGGAAAAAAAAAAATGGTATAAAAGAGAAAAATGTGCACAAATGAAGAATAAATGCTCGATGCAGAAGAGGAATTATGAGACAGACAGAGGACAGAGAAAAGGAGGTGTGGAAAAATCAAATCAATGTTTGATGCAGATGAAAAAAATACAGTAAAAAGATACGAGGTGAGGAAAATCAATAGCAAGCTGAAAAGCTTTCAATAGCACATTGCCTGGCACACAAATGGGTGTATTTGCCAGAGATGAGCAGCAAATAAAGATGGGAGACATGGGGAAAGCAAAACAGAATAGGATGAAATGGGTTCTGGGGGGCCAACGCTTCAGCCTCCGTCCATTGGGTTTAATGAATGCGGTCAATCAGTATGTAATGGCCCTGATGTTCCACTTTACACTGATGAGCAACATGGATGCAGTATGAGATGGGAGAGAAAAGAAAAAAAAAAATAGAGAGAGAGAGAGAGAGAGAGAGGGATGGAGAGAGGAGAGAGAGAGCGTGAGGCAGAAAGTGGCGATAAATAGAGAAAGATGGGAGGAGGAGGTGGAGAGAAGATGCTGTGCAACGATATCATGCAGGATAACATGGAGAGGATGTAGGGTTGTCTGGGCTAAAGGCTTCACCTCTTCAGTACAGTGTGTGTGTGTGTGTGTGTGTGTGTCATCTAACACTTGCAATACTATTCTGGGGGGTGGGGGTCCTGTAATCACACTCTCTTTAAAATGAGCTTCATTAAGACGTTGTGAGATAAGAGAATAACATGCCGTGTGTCAGTGGAAGGCTGCTCGTACCTTTGTTAGCCAGGCGCACACAGTTGATTTTGGTTTCCTGTGGAGAGAAGACAGAGACACAGACGCTTCAGTTAACAGGTCGGAAATTGTTAGAAATGCTTAGTTTCTGAAGCAGGACGTTTCAAATCAGCTGGGTCGGTCCAAGGGGCTCAAAAGACGAGGGGAATGAAAAGACCCGGAAGTATCTGAGCAGCAGCCACGAGAACAGCTGCTCCAGTTCTCTAAATGACACGGGAGGAGCTTCAGTGCTTCCTAGATTATCTCCTTTAAGCGTAGGAAACACCAGACCTTTCCTCTAGGAAAGGAAAGGAGATAATGTCGTCCCACAATTCTTTGCCCGCAGCAACTTTTAAAGCGGCATGCGATTGTAGTTTCACCACAGCAGAGCCACGTAAATGTGGAACCAACAGAGCAGCTGTATGTTCGTGACACCATGCTAAACCAGACGTATCACTCGTTAATAGAAGAGTTATTATAAGGATTAAAATGAGTGGGAAACATGAGCGTTCTTAAATCTAGGTACTCAGTTTAGAATCTAAAACTTCAACCAATCTGCAGTTATGGGCCCAGAAAATGATCAACCCTGTAGTGTGTGGTGCACAGCTTCACACCATGGTGCTATTAGTCTTTAAAGATGATCAATGAGATCATGAGACCGTGTTATTAGTTTCTGATTTTCTCCTACTTTGCAATACACTGACCGGCCGGATTCCTCTCACGTATGAACACATTATTAATATCAGGATCAATAAGCTGATGGGTAAGCTGCTGATTAGATCCATCATCATCAATTCACACACACACACACACACACACACGATGTCGGTGACGTAGTACAAAGAGAGACAGAGTCCATGTCAGGAGGTGGTGGATGGATGGATGTGACACGGGAGAGCGGTGTGTTTGATTCCCGTGTGAAACCAGCAGTTTATGTTGTAACCATGGCGACAAAGGTGGTGTAATGTTGAGGAAGTTGCTTATTTTAACCCGACTCACGATGTTTTGGCAGGGGCGCTAAGTCAGGATATATTAGCATAGTATTGTTGTATGTTATAATATCGTTATTATGATAAAAATCATTCTGTCTGTAAAGATAAAGTCTTTTCAATAATCTTGATAACGCAGAGGTCATCACATCTGGCCAGGACAGGTCACAACATCTGGATCTATCTTGCTCTTACAGTCTGGCCTCTGCGTGCCACAAGCTTGACGTTCCTCCGTCCTCCTCCCTCTCTTCCTGATGGGCTGTCAGCACCTGAAGGGGCGTGTGCTTTCCTTCATCCCCGCTCTTTTCATTCATCCGCTGCCCTCTGTCTTTCCCCCCTTTTCTTCCCTCCATGATGGGCTGTCACCACTGAGTGTACATATCTAACCGCTTGTCATATACAGAGATTGGCCTCTCACGCACGCCGGCCCATTTGTCTTCATCAGAGACGGCGACCGCGGCGGCGGCGGCCGACACTGACACCTGTCACTTCAGCATCAGAGCAAAATCACTCCCGAAGGTGCTGCTCGCAGCTACGCATCTGTATTCTTCTCAATGTGGCCTTTTTTCAGGTCGCAGTAACACTGAGGATTTTCTCTGACAACAGCGACCAGGAAACAAACTAATTTCATTTCATTTAAAGTTTTAAATGTGGATGAAGAAATTCAAATCTTCATAACAGGTTTTTATCTTTCTACTGGCTTGAAAAGTGAGAAAAAAAAGCCACTGAACTTTATATGGAAAAGAAGAAAATCAAGTTGTAACCATAGGTAATACACTGAGAGCGGGAATGAAAGAGAAGTCTATTTGAGGTGCCATAAAATCCACCTCGTCAGAACATGATCTGTTCCTGAAGCGGAGCTGCTCTCAGCTGTTTGACGGTTCCTGATATTTGATTATCTGAAGCTTGTCAATCAGCGTTTGTTCAGCCGGTCAGCACAGCAATAATTCTATCTACTACTACATCTACTCCTCGTTTCTATAGAGACACTTCAGACCTGCTCGGTGACAGCAGCAGAGGAAGGAAGTCTGCAGGTGAAGGATGTAATGTCGAAGCCTCGTGGGGCCTCAGAGTGAGGTCGTGTTTTACCTGTTAATCGAGCTGCTGATGCATCAAGTTCACATACGCTGATGTCGTCGATACGACTGAACCTGTCAGCTGTTTCCCGATTCAGGGGCCGAATCCCTCAGAGGACGCGGCCTACGAGGGTGTGGCCCCTGAACTTGAGGTTTTTGAGGCCCTTGGTTTTAACAGCTGTTAAAAGAAGGTCTAGTCGCGCCGCTGTGACGCAATCGTCCTCAGACCGCAGCCTCTGATGGATGCGGCGCCTGACGCGGGACACAGATGTTGCGTACTTGGACCGAAGACGATGAACTTCTGACCTCGCGACTTCCACGTACGGCAGCTGTTTTATACGTTTACTCTCCGGGACTGAACGAAAAGGAGAAAGTCGTCAGAAAATAATCTCAAAATGCTAAAAAACTGATCAGAATCTTGATTGATGAACGGTGTCACGGCAACACGTCTACCTGTAGGTGTCACACTGTCAGAATATGGTGGAGAAAGTTTCCTCATCACCTGGAAAGTGAATCTCAGTTTGTCTTAGAGTGACACATTTCTGTTCGTATGCTGAATGTCTGTTATTGTCACGGTTGTGCGTATGCATACTGTGTGTGTGTGTGTGAGTGTGTGTGTGTGTGTGTGTGTGTGTGTGGCTTATGAAGTTAAAGAGCAGGGAAGATGAATGTTAGTGGATGATGGATGATCTGAGCCTCTCAGCTGGATCTCTCCACAAGACTTAACACACCTGCTTCCACTGCATCTCTGTCTGACTTCCATCTGTCCGTCTGACTGAATGACTGACTCAACGTCCGCCCGTCTGTCTGCAACACTGTCGTCTGTATCAGAGTCTCTCACCGGCCGCGGTGAATGTAATGAACATTTAGACACGAGTATCACAGAGGGTGAAACAGTGAAACGCTCCTCAAGCCTCTCTGATGTGCCCGTAACGATGGCCCGGTCTCCGTGGGGATAAGCTCAGCCCCCCCCCCCGAGCGCCGCTGACTTGTGTTTTCTAGAAATTGGCCGGCTCCAGCCCGTTCACGGTCCACTTAGAGGCCCCGGCTTGTTCCGGATTCACGGTGGCCGTGAACAGAGGAGCCGCCTCGCCGCCTCGGCTCATGCTAATGGGCTCAAACCTCGGGAGGCTGCAGGAAGCAAAGTTAATAAACGTGAGGCCAATTTATTGCCCTGCCTGGATCCAGAGAGGCCGGGAGACGAGAGGAGGGGAGTTGTTTACGGCAGAGACGCCGGAGAGACAGTGTGTTTCTTTCTGTGTGTAGTAGTAGTTAACTTTGTCAAGCCTGAGAAGAATACTAAGTGTGTATGGGGGATGCAGCTGCTGTGTGGGTGAGCGCTCTCTCTCTCTCTCTCTCTCTCTCTCTCTCTCTCTCCATCTTTATATCTTTCCATCTTCCCTGCTCTCTCGCTCCAGTTGGTTGGGTCAGTGTTCTGACTGACAGCCAGGATTTCCAGCCATGTGTGTCCTCTGTCAGATTTATGGATCCTGTGATTGGCTGAAAGGGTTCCCAGGTAACCCGAGGTAGCCAGGGCAACCAATTTTTTTTTTTTTTTTTGTTTTCCTTTTCTGTAACTCTCTTTATCTCTTTCTCAGTCTTTCACACCAGGCAATTCCCTTTTAGTCCTGAGACCTCTAATTAAATAAAGCACCATTTATGTATCAGAGTCAAAATGGCGGGAATCACAGCCTCTTCTTCTTCTTCTTCATACGGCAACAACACAGGTTTCTATTGCCAATAATCAAACAGTTTCTTCAATATGAGTCTTATCTTCAATTTAGTCAAATTTAAGAAATGCACAGGAAATTTAACCCTTTCAAAACACAAACTTTACTCAATGTCTTTTGCAGTGGACGGCAGGACTTACTAACCAGTTTCCATACTTCAGGAGGTGGAGCCTCAGCATTGACGACACCCACTGTCCATTACTGATGAGAAGGAATAAGTGAGCGAGGACTTTATGGGAATTAAAGTGTCTAGAAAAGTATTTTCCAGTACACTACCAGGTAAAAACCTGATTTGGCAAATCTTTGATCCTGGTTTTTACAACACATTTGCTAAAAGTGGATTCAACTCTTCCTCTCCGTTCTTTATCAGTTCAGTTTCAACCTTCCTGTGGAAGAGAATACTTTGCAGGACTTTGCTTTCAGACAGAACGCTAATAGCTTACGTCGCGCCATGACGGTTTGTCGCCACTATGTGTGAATGCAGTGCTAAGGCTTTTTTCTTCTGAGCACAGGAAAGATCCTTTTTGCTGTGTTGCAACTTCACCGGACAGCGCGCCGCCTTAAAACCACGCCAGAGGAGCCGCAAACCTCATATCTACTGTTTATACACGGCATGTCTCGTGGGAACAGAAATCCACATGTGAGTCCATGTGATATCATTAAATGACGTCATTACATCCTGTGATCAAAGAAGACGCTACGAGGGACGAATGATTAAATAAATAAATAAATGAATGATTTTTGTTTTAAACACATTATATTTTGATTAGGCAAAAAGAATCTAAATATCAAACTTTATTTTCTTTTGGGTTGCAGGAGGCTACACACACTCACACACACAAACACACACACACACACACACACTCACACACACTGTCTGTCTGAAAAGTGCAGTTAGGGATTTTGGAGTGCATCCAGACTGACGTCGACTGTTAGTTGGTAAAAACTCCTCCAGCCTCTGAGACCTGCACCCTGAGGGTTTTGCTCGGTGAGTTGGACTTCGTGTCTTTCTACAGTCGCGTTGTTGTAAACCGTCGCCGCGAGTTGGGGACATGTCGGAGGGTCCTCACAGCTTCACCCGGTCCTCCGAGGGCTAGGACTTGGTTTTAGGATTAAGGAGTAGAACTATGTTTGGGTTAGGGGCTCACAACTATAGAGAGGACCTGTGTGTGTGTGTGTGTGTGTGTGTGTGAATGACATTGATTGTCGGAGTACCTCGGCCAACCCCTGAGGCTTTTTACTTGTCAGAAAAGGTGTCTGGCTGCATTTTTCACAGCGCGGGAGGAGGGCGAGTTTCTCCTCTTCCTTTTGTTTTCTGCCATTTCTCGCCCCATTTCTCCTCACATTCTCTCTCTCCTCGTCCCTCCTCCGGCTTTCTCCTCCAACAATTTCCCCCTCTCCTTCTCTGCCCACTTTTCTCATCACTTCCTCTTTTTTTTTTTGCACTTCTGTGTCTTTTCCTTCGGCGTCCTCGTCCTGCTCCGTCTCGTCTTCTGTCCTCCCAATGAATTTACTCCGGAGGAAATTTCACATCGTTTTGTTTTATTAATTTACCTGATGTTCTCACACTATGAAGCTGCGTTTAAAGACCAGCTGCGTCACAGCGGCGCGACTAGACCGCCCCATTTCCAAGGATCCTTCATGATCCAATCTATCCCAAGGTGCATTGCGTGCCGGTAATGAAAATAATACAGACGACGCAGACAGAGAGCCTGAGGATCACACTGTGTAATGTAAATATTGGGTTTCAGCTCAGTTCAACAGCGAACGGTGCGACTGTTAAAACCCAGAGACTGAAAATCTAAACTTTTTGTGATAAAATATTTCGTGTTGTCAAGGTTGCTAGGCGACAGGAGGCGTGCTTTAAGGGGCGGACACAGCTGGTGATGCAAAGAGAAAATCCTCTGTAGACCAGACCGTCTCATTTCGGTTCGGCCTTCACGCTCTACGGCGGGTAAAGGGCCACACCTTGGTAGAGCGCGTCCTCCGGGCCCCTGAAGTGAGACCCAGCCATAGTCTCTTTCTGTCTCTTCTCTGCCCTCTTGCCACAGGGTGCTAGACAAGGGGGTAACCTGATGGAGGTAGCCAGGTATACGGCCAAAAGTATGTGACACGTGGACCTGGGGATTTTCTCCCAATCATTTTGTGGCGATGAGGTCAGGCCTGCAGTCGGCGTCACAAAGCAGCGATGGCGCTCCAGAGATCAGTGCAGGCCAGTCAAGCGGAAACCAGATCTTCACGGACCTGACTTTGTGTATTCGGGGTATTGCTTTGACGAAACAGGAAAACGTTTCCTCAAACCTGGAAGCTCAGTAAAATTACCACTGTGAGCTGCAGCCTCCAGATTTCCTCTGGAACTAAGGGCCGTCCCAAATAACCTATTTAGTCTTTCAGTTTGAGGGACTGGATGTAAAAGCTGCTCATCAAAAATCTCCCTTGTCTCCTTACCCACTGCCATCCTTTCTTTCTTGGGTTCTCCCTCTCTCTCCCTCTCTCTCTCTCTCTCTCTCCAGCCCCCCCGGCCTCCATCTTTGCCTCCAGTGTTATATCTTCTTTAATGTCTCCTTCACTCTTTTTAGACTTTTATTCCCCCTCCCTCTATCGCTCGTCATCCCTAAGTCCCTGATCACTACTGCGCTTACTTCTCTTACTTATAGCCACAGGCACTTTATTCTTGTGTGTGTGTGTGTGTGTGTGTGTGTGTGTGTCTGTGTGCGTGCCTGCGTGTGACATCAGACTGCATCGAGGGAGACGTACAGATCGCCGCTGGTGAGCAGCGTTAATGTGAGGAGCGTCGATTAATTGGCACAATGATGGGAGATGAGAGAGTGGCGTCGGACTGATGTCACACCAGAGGGAGAGGGGAGAGAGGGAGGGAGAGTGGGAGGGGAAGAGAGAGAGGGATAGATAGATAGACAGATAGATAGATAGATAGATAGATAGATAGATAGATAGATAGATAGATAGATAAATAGATAGATAGATAAGAGGTGCTGCAAGGAGACGGGAAACACTGGGAGAAAAGGAGGGAATGTAAAGGAGGAAGAGAAAAGAGAAAGGAAAGAAAGATAAAGATGACATGAGAATGATGGAAAAGAAGAAGAGAAAAAAGATGAGGTGGGAGTGTAAAAGGAAAGGTGACAAGAAAAAGAGGAAGGAAGGAAGGAAGCATGAGATACCTGGATAAAGAGAAGGAAGGGGAGGTAGAAAAATAAATAGAGGTCAAATGATTGAGGGACAGGGGTTAGAGGAGAGCAGAGGAGGGAAATGGAGTGAAGGGAAAGAAGAATGACAGAAAGATGGAGAGACTTTGGGAAGAGGTGAGACTAAAAGAAAGATGACGCTGGATTCGTTTCTATTAGAGAAGCAGAGGCAGCGAGCGATGGAGAGATGGAGAGAGAGAGTGGGCGGATTGAGAGAACAATTTCTTCTAAATGTTCTCGGGAGAGAAAGAGAAATAAAGTGACAGAAAATGAAAGAGGGAGGAGGGAGGAGAGACGGAGAGTCTCCTTGATGGACAGGTGGAGCTCAGAGGGAGAGAGAAAAAAAATAAAACTAGGAGGATTATTCAAGACAAGCGAGAGAATGAGAAAGTGACTTTGATCCACGGGATCAAACTACGAGGAAGCAGCCAAGTCCTCTAAAATGGAAATGAGGAGTTTCTCTCCAATATGAAAGAAATAATAATAACATCTCCTCACGGGATGACTGACGGCCCAGAAATTAAACAAATTACAGCACTTTGTGAGGATCGCAGATAACTACATGAAAAATAACAAAATATCACTTTCACATATCCTGGATTCAGAGAGTAATTCCCCCCCGATGACGAGTCCCGGAGGAGGACGGCGACAGTCTGAGCGTCTGACTCTGACCGCGGACTTCACCTTAAAGGATCAGACGGACTCAGGTCCTCAGCTCAGACACCACAGCGCTGATCTCTGGTGGTGAAAGCACCAGCTATTTAACGTTTCTGTTCTTCCTGACTCGTGTCGTCTTTTATCAGAATAATCTGGGTGAACGCGTTTCTGTCTTTGACGCCATCTGTTTCAGATTCATCAAATTTAAACGATTAATTTTCTCTTTGTCTTTAATTGAGTATTTTTCATTCCCTAAAGCAAACGTTGACTTTTGAGGCGGCTGACAAACCGCTGGACGGCGTCGTTTTCTTATTTTCCTGAGTGTTTTTCTTTACCACCGCCAGACAGAGGCACAACAGTACGGTCGTGCTGAACTTCTGGAAATATACGGAGGATCAAAACACCAACCACCGGCAGACACAAAGCACCGGTGTGATGGCGGGGGACTCGAGCTGGCGTGCATGCTAGGCTGGAGGGATGATGTAGCACGGGGAGTTGCTTCGCTGTCTCGTCGTTGTCAGCAATGAACGATGAGGTATTTCATTTTCTAGGTTTCTTTTTAACCGCGACCACGCTCGTTCCCTCGGTAACCAAGTAGTTATTTCAACCCAGTTCTGGAGGGCAGAGGTAACGACAGCTGTGCGGCCGACGGGAGCTTCAACAACGAAAAAGTTTACACGTGTTGGAGGGCAGCTGTTTATTTTGGATGACTCTAACACGTGTTCTTACTGTGTATTATTACTGTAACACACTAAAAAAACTAATTAGGGTACAGCTGTAAGTCAGTGTGTGTGTGTGTGTGTGTGTGTGTGTGTGTGTGTGTGTGTGTGTGTGCATGGGGGTAATTCAGGACACGACCTGAGAAGATAAAAACTTTTTAAAACGAGTTTTATGAATGTGTGTCAATCTTTTATGCCTGACTTCCTTATCAAATCATCTGGGCTGCTGTGCTGCACAGGTCCACTTGCTTTTCTATTTACTTTACACACACACACACACACACACACACACACACATACACCTCCAATCCATGACCCAAACAAACCACACTGATTGGATTGACTGGGATCCAATCAAATAAGGAATTCTGATGTGACCGGATTTAGGGTCAACACATATACAAAGCGCACACACACACACACATACACACATACACACGCAGTCACACAGTCGCTCTCTGTGTTGAGTGCATTGTGGGAAATCTGCCTTCTGGAGGAGGATATTACATCACGGCGTCAGCCAGCTCGCCCCGGCCCCGCTCGCCAAACTGAGTTACCGTGGTTACAGCAGTGGAAAATTAAAACAACCCTCGCAGGAGTTCGGAGTATTATGGAAATTTCAAAAGAGCCAAGTTGAAGTTGTGAATGAGTTATGAGAAGGAGAGAGGGGGGAGGGGGGAGGGGGGGGGGTTGTTGTGTTTGCAGATGGTATAATTGGCAGAGAAAAAAGGGGGGGGGGGGCGCAAACACACAGATGAATTCTGGGAGAGAGAGAAGACTCTCACAGGGAGTCTCTCTGTCTCTTCGTCTGAGAAGAACAAAAGGACGATCACTTCACTGTGACTGAGACCTGGAGCGGGTTCAAACCGCTCCCGTCACTCACGCCTGCTGTGACATCACCGATCAAGGCGTGGCCAGAAATAGCGATTCGTCACGCAACATGCCGGTTATCAAAGGCTGTGAAAACACCTGTGGGCCAGTGTTCGCTCCGTCCTTTCATATGACGAGATGATGATTAATTAAAGCTTAAAGCTGAGCGAGATTTCGTCGTTTTAAATATTGTTTTGTGTTTCCACACGCAGAGAAACGGTTTTAAAGCGCCTACATCAGCGGTCAGACTGCGGGCCACAACTGGCCCGTCACCAACAACATCTGGCTTCAAATAATCTGATTTACATTCTCACAAAATTTAAATATAATGTCCAAATAGAGAATCTACCCCCCCACCTGATGAACGCTTCTTAACATAGATCTCCATCAAGGCAGAAACAGTTACACACAGAATCACTTCCTCTTCCTACAAAATAAAAGCATGAGAAAGTTCTTTTTCTTTCTTTCTTTTTTCTTTTCCTTTTATTTTTGCAGCAATGCTATTGTGAGCTTTCGTTCTTAAAGTTCAGACAGGAAGTTGTGTGATATGACATGTCAAACTTACCTGCTGACCCCTGACCTACATGTTCGATCTGATTAGTCCGGCGGCGTGAGTTCTCGTTTATGAGGTTTTTGTGTGAGTTCCTCTATTTGTTTCCAGAAACGGGATGAATCACAACCTGAGCATCGTGTAGTTACAGGAAGGTTTGAGACTCACCCCATTGGCTCTGCTCATGGCCTGGTAGTAGATGCTGTAGCTCTTGGCGGGAGACAGCGGGGGGTTCCAGAAACCGCCGTAGCTCTTGTTGTCGCCCACCGTGAACGGCTGCACGACCGTGAGGCTGGACGGCGGGAGCTCGGCGGCGATGTAGTAGGACGAGTCCAAGATGGAGGCGTTGCGGAAGCTGACGGGGGCGGAGAAACACTCGGGGGCCTCGGAGGCGGCGCGGCGGGTCTTGGACTTGCGCTCCTCCTTCACGACGAGCTGGTAGGAGCTGGAAGCAGAAACAAAGTTATTTAACGTGTTTGTTGTTGCCGCTGCTTTTGTCATTGCAACTCGTAAAACATTAAACAGTCTAATTCAGCTGAAACTGAATGTGTTTGATCTGAAAATGATAATCACCCCCACAGTCCAGTCTCTGTGCAGCGGCCACCATTAAAGAGCCTCTACTGCCGGACTGTGTGTGTGTGTTATATCCACTTTGGCATTAAGTGCATCAGCAGACGAGGGCTGAGGTCTGTGAAGGATCCTCAGGAAAGTGTCGACCATCCTTTAAGAAGCAGAGTCGTTTGTTCCCGGGGTCAATTTTTATTCCAAATGGAAGCAAACTTCAGCTTTTAACTTTCTAACACGGGAGCTGGCAGATCATTTCCTGTGCTGAGTCAGCGGCAAAGAATTAAGAGTAAGGAATATATATATGTGTGTGTGTGTGTGTGTGTGTGTGTGTGTGTCTGCCCTATGTGCACACACTCCATCAGGTGCGCATGTGCCTGCATGTGATCTGGCAGGTGTGCTTGTGTGTGTGTTGAAACAGGTGTGTGTGGAGGTGTGTTTATACACTTAAAAGGTCTCTCTTTGTCTTTGTGTGTGTGTGTGTGGTGTAGTTGTGCTCGTGGTGTGTGTGTGTGTGTGTGTGTGTGTGTGTGTGTGGGCCCTTGCATGTGTGTGTGTGTGTGTGTGTGTGTTTCCATTCCTCTCTGAGAGGCTTCATGAATGGCTGAGGGCTCCTTTAGCGGTCAGGACAAACGCAGCGGCCCTCCGCAATTACCTCCGTCCTCCACGCCAAGAACTCACTTCACAATTATACGCAATTAGGGAAATGTATGTTTCTGTGAAGGGCTGCGGCCAATTATCCCCAGCTCCCGTTTGGCAGCTTTCATAAAAGATAATTGCTGATGACCAAAGATGAGGCTCTCCCTCTCTCTCCCTCTCCCTCTCTCCCTCTCTCTCTCCTGTTTCTGCCTTTCTGGTGAAATATCCATTTCAAACTAATGACTTTCAGCGGCTGCACAGGGGATGAAGCGGGGGCCTTGTACAAGGAGCAAATAGGGAATTGTGTGTGTGTGTGTGTGTGTGTGTGTGTGTGTCTATGTGCCCTTGTCTGTGTGTGTTTTCAAGAGTGTGTGTCCGTGGACGTCCAGGTGTACCTGTGAGTGTCTTCAAACGTGTGAGCGTGTGATGTTGCACTCGTCTCTTCTGGTGGGGGGGGGGGGCGTTTAAGGGAAATTACATAAATTTGTAAAGTGAAGAAGTTTTTGAAAAATGAGGAAATTAAATTTTTGCCAGTTCTTACATCTTCTAAAGGCTGTTCGACAGTTCAGACCTGGGGCGTGTCCAGATCCACGTTTACTGGTCTAACTGCAGGAAAAGCGGTTGCTAAGGCCGGGCACATGGTTTCAAAAGGGTTCCACTTACTTAATTAATCGTGAGTGTGTTTTGGCCGCAACATGCAATAAACCAATTACAGTGCCATCTCACATTCCCTTTAAAAGCCAGGTGCACCTGCAGTAAGAAAGAACGCCTCTCTGTGGGGGGGGGGCCGACTGTCGACAGCAGGACTAACCCTAACCCACCAAACAGGCCCAGGTGCTAAATATTACGCTTAACACGCAGCGCATTGCTTTGTCACACAGTTTAATATTTGGCAATCAATAAATGCAAAACACATAGTATCTGTCTGTGCATCTGGAAGGTGCGTGTGCATATTAACACGTATGCATGCAGCAGAAGTTTATGAGTTTGTTTATGATTATCTTCATGTATCTGTTTCCATCTTTGAGCAAGTGTGTGTGTGTGTGTGTGTGTGTGTGTGTGTTGATATTCACATCTAGGCTTTACAGCTGGCTTGCATTTATGTAAATACACATGTGTAAATGCACATCTACGCATGCTTACTGATTATGCTGTGTGTGTGTGTGTGTGTGTGTGTGTGTGTGTCTCAGCCACAACAGCTGCTCCTCTTAGTGGAGTCATTTTGGTAAACACTCCTCATCTAAGCTCCTGAACTTGAAATGCTCTGATCTCCTCAGAATAAATAAATAAATAAATAAAAAATAAATAAAAAAACACACAGTTCCTGCAAAAACATTTGCGCGCACATTAACCAACAGATGACTTCCCCCTGCTTCCCCACGTACATCTGTTGGCACTTAAAACCATGTAATACTCGCACAAAACACCCATAATAAGCGAGCGCGCTGCGGGGCTCATCTCGGGCCGATAAACACATAAAGATGTTCGTGACTGGAGAGCAGCCTAATTCAACACAAGATATATTTGCCATGTGTGGGTGATAAATGGCGAGATATGATATGGGATTTGCGGAAATTAACACTAAACCACTGACCCACGCTCACATTTCAGAAATACATTTCCCCAAGTCCAAATTGAAGTGATATTTATTCTCCACGCGCCCCTGTCGAAACCGGATTTCCCCGAAGGCGGCCGAGAATAATGTTCTCCCCTACACCAATTAAATGGATGAGATCACATGTTCAGAGTGAACTTTTAATTAAAAAAAAAAAAAAACGCACCGGCTGGAAAAATGAGAAAAAGGAAAAAAAGGAACAAATTAACTGTGTGTCCATTTTTAAAACACAACCACAGTGGACTGAGGGAGCGAGGGAGCGAGGGAGCGAGGGAGCGACACCTGACTGTTGTCCTTATCAGACCCCTTCTTTTTTCTTAGGTGGTCGTGGTAAACACAGCAAACGTTTCAAACTAAATGAATCTTTCTTTATTTCTTTCTTTATATCTAGACTTCGGATCAGACCACACGGTCTCCGGTGAAGAATCTTCTGCCTCGTCTTCATCTAACGGCGCCTTCGCCAGGACGCTGACGGGTTCAGACACGGCGGACGAGTCGGCTGTGATTGGTTTTTCTCCTGCGATGAACGCAGCGTCCGGTCTATCACATTTTTCTTACTTCATATAAATGTAGTGGAGTTAAAAGTAGAATATTTGTCTTTCAGGTGCCGTGGAGTAAAAGCGTTCTCATGCTGAATCTGTGTCTGCTCGTTTGTTTCTGCATCAGGTGAGAAAACTGAAGCCTTTCTCCATCCCTCTGTCAACAGGCCGTTGGCAGGGAGCTTCAGCTGACGCAGTCACGTCTCCAGGGACCAGACACTGATTGCCAAATTACCACGAGTCCACTGTGTTCACTTGGAGCCGCCATAATGCCGCGGCTAAAAAGCTACAAGATGGAAGTGACTAATGATGATACGTTTCACTGCCAAATTTATATGAAAAAAAAATAAAAAAGAGTCCCATTCTCCGACTTCCTTTGCATACAAATTGGCCTTATATGTGTGAGTGACTTTAATGGCTTCTAAAGAGACCCTCGAGGAAGGAGAGAGAGAGAGAGAGAGGAGAGTGGATGGGAAGAGAGCCAGGATGAAGGGACAGGAGAAAATGAAAGGAAAGGAAGTGGAAGAAGAGGTGGAGGTGAAGAGGAGTAATCAGGAGGAGACAGGAGGAGAGGAAGGAGGGAAGAGCAGGAGGAAGTTACCTGATAGGTGCTCCACGGGACTGGGCGGGCTTCAGCAGGATGGTGATGGTGGTCTCGGTCTCGTTCAGCGGAGCCTCGGACTCGTACTCGGGCATCATCGGGGCTGATGGGAAGAAAACTGACATTTGAAACCAGGGAACCTTTTACCGGCGGGACGTCACGCTTCACTGTCCAGCATCACGAGTCATAATTATTATTATTATTATTATTAGTATACCTTAGTAAAGAAGCTAAAGAGGTTGTAGCTAACAGTAATATCATGCTAACAGTAATAGCTGCTGTGTAGCTGCAGTGGGTCTGTACCAGAAAGAATCCAGGTTCATTATTTGTCACTTCCACAAAACTTTTCTAAGCAAGAAAGAAAAATATATATAATCATGTTTTTCTAAAGTCAAAAACTATTTCGGTTCAGGAACATCTGAAAAGTTGGAGGAGATTCATTTTTCCAAAATAAAAGTATGCATTTCTTGGTGAAGTATGTTATAGTCGTGATCATACAACACTTAGTTCCGACCAAGTAATCTGATTGGACGAGAGCCATCCCATGAGAGCTGATATAGAGTTATAACAGCACTGGGACTTCACAGGCGTTCTATTAACCGTTAATTAGCACTTCATCAACGGTGGTTATACATCTCAGATTAGATTGTGATATTCCCCCTCCTGTGATATCACTTAAATATTCTGCTTTTCTTTTTAATCTAGAGGAAAACCATCATTTAAAAAAACAGAAACATGTAAGTCAAATTCTTTTTCTATAACTGATGTAGAGAGGGAGTGAAGTGAATTCCAGAAACTTTCTAACAGATCGTATCGACAAAAACAGACGCAGAAACATTCCTCCTTCTGTCTCACACCTGGGAGAGTTCAGTGAATTTCCTTTGGAAATTTTATGCACCTTAATAGAAGCGAGGTAGAATTTATGAATAAACTTAAAACGAGCTTCCTTGAGTTTGTAAATGAGAAGTGTATTCTTTCACAAATCTGTAATAAAGGTCGGACAGTAGAGGATGTATTAATATCCTCGAGTGTAATCAAAGGTCATTTTTTGTGTTGTTCTGATGTTATCGTATCTTGACGACGGCGGTTATCAGCCGCCGTCGAGAGCAACAAGAAGACGGCTTCATTCTGAGAGACGATCAGTTACACAAGTTATTAATTTCACATCAATCTGAGTAAAGCATCAACACATTTTAGGTTTTTAACCCCCCCCCCCCCCCCCCGTCCACCGCTCTCTATCCGTCTGCATCGTTTAATCTAATTTCTCCATCCTCTGGTTCCTGGATGAGATAATGAAGATTGGTGATGGCGTGACATTTGGGAGGGAGCCATCCCTCTTTTATTTTTTCATCCTCTCCCTCCTCTTAGCAACATGTTGTTAAGATTCGAAAAGGATGACGGAGGAAAGGTCACGCTAACATCACTGTAGGTGTTTTCCACAGACAGGACGCCGCTGACACGCCGCTGACACGCCGCTGATGACACGCCGCTGACACATTAGACTGGAAGTTTGATCGGCACCGTCAG